ATGTGATAACGAAAACGAATGTTACTTGTTTTTGGTATAAAACAATCTCAAACTATAAGACGGTTGCGACCTGGCTTTTTTAATATGTCCACCTTATCTCAATGAGCTACCTAAAAACTACCTTGTTTATAAACTTACTTACTCACTGTACTGGTTTTAGTGCTGCCGCAAGGAGGAAGAAGCAAAGCAGAGAAGAGGAAGAAAGTGTGAATGTAGGAAAATAGAATAAATAATGCCGAGTGTTTCGTTAATCAGTGATATTTCTAATTTTTTCAATACAACAGCTTACCTATTGCTTTTTTCTCACACTGATCATCACATCTTTTATGACACCTGCCGAGTACGGTAACGTCAATATACCTTCTTAACTGAACTACATAGGCCTCACGCTTCGAATTTGTAAAACAGTGAGAAACAAACTGCAAAGCTGATTTCTTCTTTTTACTGAGACGTTGTTTTACCTAAAAGTTTTTTGCTTTTTTACCTGATAAGATCAACTCAAAAAAATTTCTTTAAAGAAGAAACGATGAAATAATTTTTATACATGCCGCAAATAAAGCGATAATTTGCGCATAATGTATTAAAAAACTGATATTTTTGCTTTCTGAATTTTACGCATAGTAATTTTGTTTAGAACAGGTGATGTTGACGCTTACTGTCTCAAAATCCCATGGAATTGTAACAAATGGATCGTCACTGATCTTTACCAGTGAGGCATATGGCGAAAAAATCTCACTTTGTCTTCTAAAAACGACTATTAGTAAATAAAAGAAATATCCTCGTTTCGGGCGAGATCATTTGCCGTCTTAAAAACTAACATATAATTAAGTCATTACGAATCATTATAAGAATTGATAGGAACTCTCCGAACAAGAAAGGTAGGCTACAAATTGATTTTGATGGAATACCGGTATGTCATTGTTACATTGAAAAAGTTAAATGGTATGTAAGGCAAGCGTTCATAATGCATTGTTGGGGGTTCCAAAAAGAAGAATATAAAATACTGATCAGGTCTCCTAATTGTTGGTAAATCCTTCTCGTCAAAATCTCCTGCATGAAACAAGACAGCGTCTGAAGTGTTCAAAAACCTAAATTTCTTTGTAACTTCAGAGACAATTTTGTTTAAAAGAATAGTAGAACCTTTCCAGAAAGTTGCCTATTTCAGATTTATTTGTCCAGCTTATTTCACTAATCTTTTTCACATATGATTCTTATTCATTGCTACAAACCAGCAGACATATTTTCGTAACAAAATTAACGAAAACCTTCGGTCGTTAGTATAATAACAGCTCCACGGGCAGTTCTCTGACTGGGATTTCAAATATCCAACAAGACTGTTTTTATTCCAAGCTATTATAATCGGAAAGGTTTTAGGAAAAGCATCTAGCTAGAATAATGTTTTCTATTAGGAAATTACCAAGACATTAAAAAAACGACTTCTTAGAGCTTAATAATTTAGTTATTAGCATAATATTTTTAAAGAAAACAATGCACCTTCACGTAAGAATGACAAAAATCATAAGAAACAAGTGAACTTTTCTTCCAAAATTACAGTTTCTGTAAAAATTAAATAAACTTTTTTTTCAGTTAAATAGTTATCAAAAAACAGAGTAAGCAAGTTTTTTAGTGTGAGTCTCAAATGTAGTTTCTCTATCAACATTTTTAACATAGCTACTGTATTAGGCTTAAGAATCATTCTTAAAAAAGCTCAAATTTTGACTGTAAAGCTATAGGTGGAGTGTGGCAATCATGAAACAGCAAAGAATTATACTGTATTAAAAGTTTTTTTCTATAAATAATTAAATTTCATTTACATTATGCAATAGGTGATTTCCTTCTTAGAGTGGAACTCAGATCCATAACCAGTACCATACTAATAATTATCATCTAACTCAGTTAAATTACTGAAAATCTTTGAGCATAATCTTAGCTTTTTGAACTTGTTATTTATTCAAATGCCCTTCACCTATTTTTATCAGAAATGAGTTTCAGAACTAACAAACCAATGATTATTCAAAGTTTTTTATTAGACGCGATAAACGCGATAAGACTTCAAAGTGTGCTCTGTAAATATAAGACTAAAACAAAAGCGGAAAGCTATGAAGTTAGGAGTAACGCAAAAGGAAAATGAAAGCAAACGAAGGAAGTTTCAATAACAAGCTACAGAAAAGAAAAGATGGCTTATTGCGTGACGTAAATTAGGTTTAGCAGACAGTCAGATTAATTTTCTTCCAAAATCTACCAAAAAATTTGTTTACTTTTAAGAAGCTACCTGAAAAAGTAAAAATTTTTCCGAAATGCTCTCGTAAAGTAGCAAGAATTAGTCGATAGTAGTAAATTTTGTCACTGCACGACTTGTCCGTACGAAACGTTCAGAACAGTAAACAAAAAGCTATATTATTTTCTAGGAGTTACTGAATCAAAAATTGCTACATTTTGGTGATTTGACAAAAACCTGTGACATTTACTTTTATAATCTATAAATCTATGCCTAATAAACGTTAAAGAGTGAAATGATAGAAAAGAGAAAGCATAAAGTGATGATTGAAGAAACTGCCGTTTTGTGAATCTGTCTATAGAAAACAAATTCCCAGAAAACATTTCACATCAAAATGTTCAGTGAAAACTGTTACCTGTTCTTGTTTAGAAGAAGAAGCCGCTAGGCTGCATATGCCATCTTTATACCTTAGTAAATAGTTTGTCAAAGCGTATAGAAGTCCCCCAACCAAAAATAAAGCAGTCGCTGAAGAAATGAAGCGCTTCCTAAAATCAGTTGTCATTAGGTTTCAAGAACTACTACAATAAAAAACGGTTTCTCCACAATAAAGGTCTCTATGTTTCTCTGTCATGTGCTGTTTTTTAGCGCTTTTCTGGAATTTTATTTGCTCAACGAGTCCGACTGTAGTTTTGCAAATTAGAAAGCAAAAGATTGACAACCTCTGATCACAGTTTAGAAACTCTCAGTTTTATCTATCGTTTTAAGATTTAAATGAATCTAGTTTAATTTAAAAATTACAATATTTATTTTTTCGTGCTTTTGAACTACTCTACTTTTCTTCATCTGTTAGAAAGAAATGAGGCTACCCTTTTTTTAAAATTGGTTTGAAACACTACATTTTTAAACGGCTGGGAACAAAATTGAAAGCAATCACAATTTTTAAACTGCACTACTGTTTAGGTCAAAATCGGTCTTCTGCAAACCTACCTTGTTTTTTAACGGTCTTTAAAGAATTTAGGCACTTACATTTAAGTCTTAGACCTTTTACTCGTCAATAAAGACGAAGTGTCGTTTAAGGGTCACTTTTTGTCAAAGCACTATTGAAATAAGACAGAATGCTTCAAAAATTGCCTTTCACTTTACTGAAAAGAAAAAGTATTAAAAGTAATTAAGAAGACTGGCTTTGGGTCTTCAAGTTCTGGTAATCGTCACGGTATTACCTGTATGTATTATTCAAGCCTTGAGTGGTCCGACTGTCTCGTTACAGATGTCGCAGAATGCTAACTTAGTGAAAGCTGTCTAAAAGTAGTGATTTATAAGTAAACAGCTGGTAGAGAGCACTGACTTGATCGTTAAATTTTTGGATTATTGATGAGCGTTAAAGTGTTTTCTAAATGGTATTATTTAATTTTCTCACATACAATGCAATGTTTGAATTAAAAGGCATGTTATTTACTATCAAAGCTAATGTACAACACATCACATTATGACAATATATCTTCAAAGAAATCACCGATTAAGAAAGAGATAACAATAGAACTAGAGCATAAAGGTGAGCCACACGCTCAAGATTTGAGAGAACATTGTCGTTAAAAGGCAGGCAAAGAAGATGGTGAACAAAAAAGAAGGTCAACGAAGGCGTAGAATAACACGACTAGTAGTCTGAGATACAGTTCTGAAACATTTCACAGCTGATAATTGTGCGCTATGAGGTAAAAAACGAATTCAAAAAAAAAACTAAAAACTGTTGTCAACAAGAGTAGCTCTATGACCTGTAACAATTAATGAAGATGCCACAAACAAAAAATCTTAAAAGTGCTGAAGTAGAAAACTGATAATGACTGATTGTGATTAATCCAGATACTTAGCCAATTAAAGAAAGCTTATGCAGTCAATCAAACAATTTGTCCAGCACATAATTAAAAATGTAATAAATAAACAGTAAGTTGACACTTGCTGATTTATTCTTTACAATTAATTAATTTGTCTTCGTACAAATTTTGCATGTACTTTTTTTAAAAAATTTATTTGTTTATAGTAAATTGTAACTTAGAGAACATTATAAAAAGAAAGCTTAAAAGATGTGAAGAGTTCTAGATTATATGAGGTTTTTTCAAAAAGTTTGGGTTTTTTGATTTGTTACCATCTTCCTCCAGATTCTCCGATTGTATTAGCTGAATATTAGCTGAACTACATTGTAGCTTATTCAAATTTCCATTAAAATAACCTACTTGCTTGAATAAATCACCTAAAACCGCGTGACAAGCAACTCTAAATGTTACTCAAACTATACTTAGATCAATTTCGATACAAACTTCTTTGATTTATTCAAAAAAAAAAGAAAAAAAAAACAAGTTGATCTTTATTTCTGTTGTACAAAAATTGGTGAAAACATTTTACAATCTGTATTCACTGAATATAAAAGTACACTGAACAAAAAAGACTGTTCAAGATTCAGCATTTGTGCATTTTTTACTTTCAATAGAAATAGAAAATTTTGTAAATCAAAAAGTTAGTAAATGAAATTCAAGAGTTTGAAAAAAATTTATAAGTGTAAAATGCAACTGGTAACATAAACAGCTATTTTGCAGCATTTCTGCAACTTATCGGTGTACTTCTTATAATCACCAAGCTTATTTGAAAGAAAACATCTTAAGAAAACTGCTTTCTTAAAAAACTTGTTAATTATACTGCCTGTATGCGCTTCTTGATTAACAATTTTAACAGCCTGATTAACTGCGTGTATGAGAAATAAGAAATTAGTAGTTGTAAACAATTTTGAAAAAAATTTATCTCAGGTGGTTGGTCAGTCTACAGCACAAACCAAAGCACAGAAGTAATTATGTATTGCAGCAGTGCAACAGTTCCTGATAGAAAGACAGGCATAAGCACTATTCCTGTCAGTCATTTTCAGCTTTAAACTTACTGCTCGGGACATGCAAATTAGAGAGCCGGCCATCGAGCTTCTGTGTTCAAGATGGCTTGAAGTGTTGGAGTAGGCAAGATAGCCCTGTAAAAGGGTGTTTGTATAGGCAGGCGCCAGGAGATCCACCTAAATATGCATTAATATTTTTTTTGAGAGAAATCGTACGTTACGAAGAGGAAGTTTATCACTCTCTGTAATTTTGGAAGGTCTAACCAGCATAATCTAACCAACATAATGAAGCCACTAAAGAATAGTTTATCTGACCTTAACTGCCTTTTTTGACATTATACAGTTGCAAATTTTTTAGTAGGCTAGATTTTGCAAAACTTTATGCTTTTTTAATTTTTGACTCCAAGTAATATTTTTAATGTAGTCGAAAACCTACACCCTGAATGGATTACGCATGAATTGAACAGCTGAAGCCCGGCGTCCGGCTGATAAGCCAATGGCTGCACTGTTCTAACGGCATATTCAGAAATTACCTCTTTGCTTACAGAAGTATAATGTAGAAGTAATCTTTTATACTTATACAGACAAATTAAACACTTTACTTTTTCCAGCAAAAACTAAATTTTACAGTAAATTGTTTTCGCTTTGCAGATTGCTATTTTTATTTCTTTTTCTTTTTTATTTTTTGCTCCTAATGCCATATTTCACTGTACATTAAAACTAGTAGCTTAACAAACGTAATTCTCTAATACTATTTCAAATTTGATGGTTCACGTCTAACTATTGTTGAAAGCAAAAGTAAAGAGCAGTAATTAACAGCACAACAAAAAGTATGGTTTTAAAACCTGTTTATATTTTTTAGCTCTGAACTTCCAGTTGCAAAAATAGAAACATCTGTATTACGCCAGATTAGTTTCAAATTGTACTTCTTGTGGAACAGTGCAACAAAGAAAAACGCTATCACGCTATCACTCGATAATCAAAAAAATGAAAAATTTTTGAAACACCGGTTGCTAAATTGTGATTTGTCAAAAACCTACCAAAAAAGAAGAAATATGAATATGTTTAAGTGAAAATCCTTAGTAAATAATTAGAAGCACTTCGTTGATGAGCGAATTTGTGTCTGCCAAGCAGATATGTTCTACCAAACTCAATAAATAAGTCATTTATTAGGTTCTACTAATACAGTCAACAGGAACCTATTGACAATAAGGCTAACGATAGCAGGAGAGATTAGAGGCCTAGCAGCATGGGACAAACAATGATTTTCTAGTCAGCCATATCACTTGGCTACTTAAGTCCAGCTGAGGTCATTCTTTGAATACTGGTCACTGATCTAATCTCTGGCCTCAGGTTTATCTGATATTGTAAATACGGGATCATCGACACAACTAAGTTTGATATTTGTGCGGCCTAACTAGATAAGAAAGTTTCCTAAATAAATTTATAAATGACCATCCTTCTTCTCATCTCGCCTGTCAGCGACAAGTAGCATTTTAGATAGCTCACAAAAGTGTTCTGTAAGCAAGTTGGCATAAGCTTTTTGTAACTGTTGCTCTGTCTCTAGCAAACCACCAACGCTGTTTTCATTCTTTTAAAATTGCTTGAACTCTCTAGTGAACATAGTTTTAGCGAGCTTTGCTCATTAACAGTTGTGCTAAGTCACTTTAACTTTGTACTGTTAGGCATTTTTCGTGTAAAAACAATAGTAAGCTCTGACAGCGACCTGTTCCACATATCAGCTGATTTTCTGAACAAAACCTGGCGTTTAAGCCATTCTTACAATTCTTTGTCACTGCGGTCTCTTTACTACAGATATACCACTGTTCTCGTCTTAAAGCCACGTACTTTGTGATACGACTGCTTTAGAAAGGCACCGTAGGCAAATTATAGGTTACTGTAGGTTCCTGAAGGTGAGCTCCTGAAGAGTTTGCAGTCTCGAGCACCTAAGAGAGAGGAATTTAAGCATAAAAGAGGCATTACACTCCCAAAGGTTAATAAATCATATTGTCAATATTGACATCGATGTTTGTCTCGGCTACAAGCAGAACCTAAAAATTTGAAGATTTAACCTTGACGTCTCCTTTCCTATAGTGCCCTATTGAGAGCTTATTTCTACAGTTTTTCTCATAGGTGTGATTAGCCCTTACTGCCCACAGTACCAGCCTTAGCTCCTTGTATTTCTTCTATGAGCTGAGGACGTTCGACAATCTTGAGCTTCTTGTAATGATCAATTACCGTTGTATTCAACGCTCAAACTCCTGACTTGTTGACTTTGAAAGAATTCGAACTGACCCTTAGATTAGCTCGTCTACGCCTATTGACTGAGTAATATGTTCTATGCGAGCTGATGATTGCAATACTTACCAAATTTATTACTCACTTTGAAATAATATATTAGATACAAACTCACAATAGCAGTTTCCATACCTGCTCTATACTCCACATGGTAATAATAGAAAATTAAAACACAAAGCGTTATAAATAGAATAGCACACAAAATAGCAATGGGCACTTGAAAACAGCTAAAGTAAAAAACTTCAAGAAGACTGTATTGATCAATGTCGAATAGAACAAAGAAAAACCACAATAAAGTCTCACTCCCTATTTATACACCCGTCCCCACTTGTAGCAGCCCCGTCTGCTGTCCCTCCGGGAGCTTCCTCTCAGGAAACATGTAGTTGCCGACCACTTAATAATGTCAAGTTGCCATTTCGCGTATGGTCGCAACAGTGTTGTCATCAAGCGTGACAGCTCCGATTTTTCATTTGACCAATTTTTTATTTGCGCTGCTCGATTTCCTATTTTCTCCATTCTTCAACTCATGCCAAATTGACAACCTTAGATCTCTTCTGCAGACCTTGAAGCCAATATTACTTTTATTTCATTGCTCAGTGTAGCCACTAGGTTTAAACAAATTTTCTCAAGGTTTACTCCTTGCAAATGTACAGGTTAAGTGAAAATAAAGAGAATAAATTGAAAGAAAGCGTCTAATATTGAAGACAGTCACTGTCCACGAGGTATTCTAAATAAGAAAGCGATTGTCAAAGTAGAAGAGGCCTCAGACAAAAAAGTCGAAAATCTTGAAGCAGCTTAGAAAAGAATTAAAAGTCTGTGGTTGGGCTGTGAAAGGTAAAGGCTAATTACAGCCACAATGGCAATATTGTACTATCAAAAACCGCAATGAGGAGTGCAGGAAGAATTACACTGCAGCAGTTTTACACTTTAGGAGGTCGTCCGTTGGCCACGACACTCCGCATTATGCTGCCCTATCGCGCTAGCATAACCTTCATCTTTACAGTTTTTTAAAATCAAGATACTCATTGTAAACTTTCTTTTTAAAGCCTCATATAACTTATTTTAGACCTTTTACCTTGGAACCTTAGCTGCAATACCACTGATCGACAAGAGCTAAGTGGGAAAATCTGGAACTTTAGTCTAAAAAAGTTAAGAACGACGACATAGTGACGGCCTTATATATATTTGAGAAGCTTAGAAAGAGACCCTTTCTGCTTCAAAACTGCGACTAAAGCGATGATGCTGTGATCGCAGCTTGTCGCAATTGAGGAGGCAAATTAATTGTGTTAATCTTGACTGGGAAATGAGAAGTCCTCTTTTGGCGTTGAAAGCATATGCTCCGCAGTTGCAGATTTGTAATCAATAGTGAGACATTACAGACGGATTTTATTTTCTGTAAGAATATGAAGGCAGAGAGGCTGGTGAGAAGTATGTAACAGCGGTGTGAAATAATCAAAACGATGGCGTCACGCTGCTGATGCAAAAAACGTTCAATTACCCAAGTTTGAGGTAACGAAAGTTGACCTGAGAACGGCGCCATAGTGTAGACGAAAAAGGGTTTGTGTAGCCTTACAGAAACGACCTGAAGGAATGGTGCCAGAGGCAGTGGTGTGGTCTGCAGGTCGTAAAGCAAAGGTTGATGGCTTGTGCCGGTTAAGGGAACTGCGTGTACCTGAGCATGTATAATGATGTTACATGTATGCTTCTTTTTCGCTTTTCTCTTAGGTAATTTGAGAGGAAGGCTGCATTAATGTCTTTCATACGCGGGGTCTTTTAAAAATTGGACTGTCATGAAGCACACCGACCGGGAGTCAATGAATGAAGCCCACATTAGAAAGCAAAACCTCAGAGCGGTGTACGGTGTTCCGCTACTTGTGACCAGAGGTGGTATAACGCACTGTGTTCGTGTTCGTGCGAGCATCGGTCTTAGGATCAGTGAAGTGAAAGCCGCGGTTAGAAGTTTCAAGCTGATACTCCTCTGGCATATGTTTGATGGTACTATATGCGCTCTGTTGGTACTGCCCGATCAGTGATAAAATGGTAGCAGTATCTTGTCGTCAAAGTGGAACGACGGAACAGGTATTGGTCCCTCGGTCAATAACCAAAAAACACCGCTGTTTTTCTGTGAACCTACTTCTGTTATATTTTCCTCTGATAAGAGTCTGTCATCATTTTCGCTACTTTCCGAGAACCTTCTGGCCGTTGAAGGATGTCTCCGCATATGCTCCATGCTTACAGCTAAATTACAAAATTGCCAGATTGGAACCAAAACCGGTGGCACAAAAATCTGGCACGCTACCGCTGCGCCATCCTCCTCTAACCAAGTCAGCGCTTTACGATGCATATAAATATGGATACAATTGAGTACAGGAGTTGCAGCGGCGCAGCAATTGTCCTCTTCTCTCTCTTCCTCTCCCCGTACCCCTGTGCTACTGCCCCCTTCCCTTTCTCTGTCCGTCTCTTTACTGTCCCCTTCTTCCATTTTCCCGTTATGAAGCGGTCAATCAATCAGCACGCTTGAGCAGTCATCGTGCGCTTTTGTCCAGCTTTACTTTCTTTTTGACCTACTCCTTACAACAAGGAAAAATTTCTGACGTTTTCAACCTATAAATACGCATCTGAGGCAGCTTTAATATATGGCGTGTCAAACTTAATTACAATAAAACGTTTTGCACAAGTCAGTAAATAAAGCCAAAAACTACATACTTAGAATTGAGACACCTTTCACTGAAGTTAAGAAATCTTTACTAAATATCAACTGTTATTGATAACCCCGCTCCATTTGCACCTTAAGCATAGAACTGTTGCGTACTTATGTGCTGAGACATTTTCAACGCCGTGTAGGTCTCGACTTTCCACAGTTTTTTTCTGTTATCTTATAGGGAATTATTAATCTTTTCATTTTTTTCATGACCACTGTGTCTCTCTCATTCTCAACAGATCTTACCCGAAATATCTCATACAATTGAAAGATTGTTGTCAAAGCGACTTGATTAATAACTCGCTCTTTAGATTGGCCGACACTGAGAACTCCAAAAGATCATAACCCTGTTTTAACCAGAAAAAAACCATACGTTTCATAATTATTTCATTTCTTTGCTGGTAGTTATGAAAACAAAATTGCAACTTGTCTTAGTTATCCTCAAAAGCCTTGGTAATCTTACTTTGTTCAAAACTTTTCCTAAAAACAAATCATCTATTACTTCCCAAAATTAGACTGCCTGCATAAATCTGATAAAGTAATTGTTGTTGTTGTTCAAGCACTTTGTGATTTCTCTTTTGACAAGCTTTTTGAATTCCTTTCCACAAGTGATATGTGACATTTGCGGTCAAAAGGAGTATACTATATATTATTCTAACCACAATTCTGTGGAAGCGATATATGAGTTTTCTAGAGAAAGCTTAATGAATTAAAAACGTTTTTTGGTAGAATTTAGCTTTAGATTTGAAAGTTTAGACAGATAATTCAGCACTCCTATTTTTTGAAAAAGTACAGCTGCTAAAAAAAGTTCATTTTCTCTGTAACAGGTACATGTTAATAATCCTTTACTTCATACCAACTTTTTAAAGTTTTTTCTCTAACAGAGCTTATATCACACATTACTGTGCATTTATTTATTGACAGTTACGCTAAAAGCTGTAAGAAGAGAAATGTAATTTTTGAAATAAAAACTTTTATATTTTTTGCAAAGTCGATGCGATGATGGCATTCCTTTCTTAATTATTTTTCCATTCTCCGTGCTTTAGTAGAATGCCAGTTGCAGCAATAAACAACATGAATCTCCATTGATATGTTAAATCATTCTGTTGACGACGAATGAGATCAGAGAGCACTAGTTTATAGTCTCTCTAAAAGTTAGGGCTTTTATTGCGCTGTATGCGTAACGATTTTAATAACCTACTAGCACGCAATAAAGGTATAGTTAGGAAAATACTGTGCAACACTCATTTTTCATTTTAATTATTCGAAAATTTTGCAGATTTCATTTCTCTTATACACAAATTTGAATAACCTGTTATCCAGCCTATACAAATTTCATTAAGTGTCCAATTTTCGACTTTATACAGGACTGTAAGAGAATATTCGCAAAGTCCTGAGAACTTGTAATAACGCATAAAAATTGTTGAAACCACGGACTGGGCTAAGAATTTCACTTGCCTACTGGAAGGCAAAACTGACTGAATTGCTTAACTCTATGTAATAAATATCATTCGAGATATTTAAAAACTACCTGAAAAAAAATGACACCAGAATGCCAGGAGGCTAATTTGCTCAAACTTCGCATGTCAGCAGACAAAAAAAAATTTTTTCTGTTTGAAAACTCTAATTATAGGGACCGTCATTTCTAATTTGTGTTTCGTGGCAGGACCACAGTTACTGTAGTAAGGCCGGCCGGCACGTTTTAAAAATGCTGGCCACCGGTCAAGTTCGGCACTGTTTACCAAGTTTATTTTTGGTGCTTTGCTGATTTTTTGGCGCCATTCGTTTTGACAGAACCTTATCTAGCGGTTCGTCACTATCCTATGTTGATATGTGACGTTGTGGTCGAGATATTCCCTAAAATGTGATGTTAGAGCTAATTTCCAGAATTACTAGTTTTGTTACTTCCACTCAAGAGCACAGGTTTATGGACGGAACAATTTCTTTTTGCACAAAGGTTCCACGGAGTGTTTTCTTAACATGGGCAAAATCATTTAGGCCGGTCAAAGTACTGGTCTTTTTAAAATTTCGCTATTTTTAGAGAGAAGTGGACTGCTGTGCAGGTGGAGTAACAGGTTTTATGTGCTTACTGTTGAGCTTG